ACTTGAACCTTTCTTTTTCTAACAAGGACTAGCACGTCATCCCGCTTTCTAAACATCAGAAAAAAGAAACGGAAACATTATTCAGTTTCTAAACTACTTTCTAATTAACTATATGCATAGAAGAAAGAAGATATATGTACCTGGTATTTTTATTCCCATTGTTGTCTAGAATCAAAGTAGGAGGATGCGCAACCTAATTATAAAAAAAAAATCCAAAATTTACAAAATGTAACAGAAGTTTCAACCATTCCTCCTCCCTCATCCATTAAAAAGAGTTTCTAAGAGAAATAAATATAAGTGTAGAGAGCTACCACCAAAAACAAATCTTTGATCAGATTAGAAAAATCGGATGCATACACGAATACCTTTCATTTAGCAATCACAGCATTTCAACGCACACAACAGTATGTCATTAAAACGCTTCTCAGAAGAATTTCTTCTTAAAGACATCAATATTTTGCTTTGTAATCTGACTAAAGAGTTTAAACCTTTGTGTTCATAAGAGATCTCAAATCAACATTCGAACACACAAATATCCACTAACAACAATCACTAAGTCAATTAAGAATGCCAAAAATCCTTTCACTAACCACCATCACAAGCTTAAAACTTTAACATATGAAACAGACAGAAGCAACAAGGAATTAACACAAAGAATCGAACTTTTTTTCTTCGTTTACATAATACTTAGAGAAGAAATCAACTAACCCGAGGTTGCAAGAAGTGAGGAACTCCTTTCATGGGACCAGACCCGAGTTGAGTAGATTGTTGAATCTGAGGATGTGCAGCTCTCATGAACTGAATCATTGGATCCAAATTCGACCCGAATTGCCCATGATTGTATCCATAAACCGGACGAGGAGGATACCCAACTGGACTATCAGCGACGGAATTGGAACTCTGTCTACCGGGTCGGGTCGGAAACCCTCGACCCGAAGAAGCATACGGGTAAACGAGACCTGACGGGTCTTGGTGAGGCTGGTGAGGCGAACCGGCAACGGAATTCGTTCGCCTGACAGGAAAAGGTTGCGCGTAGGGATTCGGATGAGGATGACGATGAAACGGAGCGATAGCTCTATACGGCGGAGCTTGTGGTGGTTGAGACGACGGCGTTTTGACTGTGTTAGGTTGTGTCACCGGAGTTTCCGATGCGGTGGTTATCGGACGTGAAACCGCTACAGAGACGGAGGAATTGGGTTTCGGATCTGGAGTGGACATTGTTATTCCGGCGAATCGATAAATTTTTGATTTCACTGAATTTGGGGAAGAAGATTTTTAAATTTGGTACCTTTATTTCCCAAGAGCGGTTTACCATTTTCGGTTCGGTTTCTCGGTTCAATTTTTAGATTAGACAATAATTTACCTTTTTTTTTATTGGTATTACACTTGTTTTAGTATCATTAAATCCAACTTTTTATTTTTATTTTTTTGGTCACAATTAAATCCAAGTTTATTTTTCTGTTCAATGAATTGAATTTTGATGCTATTGCACAAAATTTCAGTTAAGAAAAATTGATTCCAATTACGATTTAGTTCGGTTTTAGTTAGAAAGATTTAGGTTTGGTTTATAAGGTGACATTTACTCATACAGTAGCTTTTAATTCGGATTATAACACTGCAACAACTTTAGTAGAAACCATATATACATGATCTTAAACTCTTTCTTTTCCAATACAGATATTTTTATCATTTGATAATCTAAAAGCCAAGATCTTGGCTACATCTCAGAAAAGCGTTTATACATTCCGCAGATCTGTAAAAATTTCACATTCTACATAGAATAGGTTGGTATATTTAGCAGCACAAAAACAGGGAATGATCATCATCTACAAAATTAAGATTCAAGATTCTGTAATGGCAAGAAGAAGCTGTTGTTGGT